TTAGGTTGGCAACGTTGAGCTGAAGCTATAGCTCAAGTTGACTGCAAGACCGGGTAATTAGCGGACATACTCCCATCTAAGCACGCTAGAACCTTGGAGTAGTTCCGACTTTGCTTACCACCTTAGCTCGAAGGCTCTCCACGTAGATATCACACGCCGTCATGCTCTGAGCGCACTTACTGCAGCGGAGACAAGTCCTCCATGATGTTTCGAATCTCTCTCCTGGTCACCTTGTTCCTCAGCTTAGAAAAAAGCAAGGCCGGGGGTGCTCCAGGTCTTAGGATACCGAGTGTTGGTGTCGGTATGTGGGCATGTTGAGCTTTGCATAAGATCTTCCACTGCTCGTGAATCCTACATGGAGGAATTTTGTGGGAATCTCCGTTCCCTTCAAAATCCTACCTGTACCGCCACCGAACAAGGAACTTTTTCAATGGCAGTCGGCACGAGTACAGTACCCACTTCGACGGGTGATCGGCTTCAAGCCACTTCAAGTATCCTGCACCTGCAAAAAATCCGACTCTCTCAACAGCAGCTGTCAGTCCAAGCTTCTCGTAGCTCATCTTCGCGAGTTGAATGCTCCGTGCAGGCCCGTTCAACCTCTAGACAGGTGACCGTGGCAGAAGCCGAGGTCAGAAGTGAGAACCCCAATGCCGTCGTAGGACGCAAGGAGACTTTCTTGCTGTCCAAGTCCTTTATTATTAATGTCGTTGATCCGGTGAAAGGACTACATATCTGGGCCCGAGCTCGTTTGACTTCAAGCTTCCAAACTCCGCCGAAGCACTGCATGCATCCGGAGACAAACTCATCGAGATCGAGAAGTCCTCGGGCTCGGCTGCTTAGTCTGTGCTCCTGTGCTACCATTTTGAAGCAAACTTTCTAGCTGCCGTCACAGAGATCAGCCACATTGCATATCGTGACATGAGCCGAGCCTAGCATTACCACACACTCCCAAGAGGGCAGTGCTTCAAACATCAACCGCATGGAAACCCGGCAACAGGACCTGCTAGCGCTTCACTCGCCCAGAGGTCTGCTTCCTGTCGGCTTGCCCCGTCTAGACACGGCTAGCTTCACACACAGAACCTTTTCCGGTTTCCCAAGATGGGCTTCCCAGAAGAACGGTCCCGTGAGCCCGAGGTCTCGCATACTACTAAAGCGCACTCCGCATGTACCTAGCAGTTAGTCGAAGTGCTGATGTGCAGGTGCCCCATACGTAGTTGAAGAGGCTAGAAGTGGGGTAGCTGATCCTCATCCCCAACCATGGCAGCAAAGGGTAACAACAATCGATCTGACATTTCGGGGAAGGGTAGTAACTTAAGTGTGCTGTAGCTTCGGTTCTGATCCGCTGTCGGCTTCAGGAGGCCGCAGGGATCGAAATTCTTCGGATAGATAGTAAATTGAGCTACCCTGGACTGTAATTCAGCATGTGTGAAACCGAACCCATCTTCGCGTAGTGCGGCACAGGAGCCGTTCTCGTTCGCATCGATGAGCATGAAGAAGGTCCATACCTTTGGAATTAAGCATTCGGCGCCTCCTTAGTTTCTAGAGTTCGGGCGTCAGAAGCTTAAATTGCTCCCTGTGTGTGTTGATGGGTCCGGCAGCTTTTGAGCTGACATGCTTTTTCCATCATGGAACGCTTTGTCACTGGCCGCTTGGAATATTGAAGCAAGCTCCTTGACAATAGCCAGTGACTTACTGCGCGCTTCCTGTTGAACCCAGGACACGTCCTCTGTGGAGATGCCCATGGATTCCAGAAAGTTGGACCTGAGCATTTCGCAGAGGGACGGACCACCATCACTCCTGCACTGCTGGAAATCCAAACTCGCCTTTTCGAGATAGTACGAGTATGTCCGATGCCCACTTCAAAATCCTGGCTAGCTGTCCTTGAACGACATGGGAGCCATCTCTGACGAGAGTACAGGAAGATCTGTCTGTGCGAAGAGCTCCGAATCGAAAGCCCGCACTCTACCCCGACCGTGCCATGGCACAAGCGCCCACGTGACATCGCCGTTTCCACATCCTTGATGCCTTACTTCGCGGGCATTTTCGGGGGCCTGTAAGCCTCGGGACACTCCGTGAGAGGGCTGCTCCTATGCATTAAGCTTGCGCCAGGCACTTACTGTTCTCCTCGCCCAAACCAGAAAGACTGGACAAAAAACACGCCAACAAGTGAACAACCCAACATCCCAACCTCACACAGGCAGCAAAACCACCAGGCAGTAAGACGCTCCGTCAGGTGCAGACCTTCCGCCCTAAGTATCAACCAGATGTCCTCACCGAATCCAGTCACGCTCTTCTGAACTTCCGGGCTGCTGATGTTATCAGCGCTGGAGCTATCCAGCTCCTGACAGCAGGATGGAACTCCGCTGGGCCGGTAGAGATTGGCTCGGCAGTTTCAAGCAAAGTTTGAACTGTGTCTTGGACAAGTCAGGCTCGTTTGTAGACTTCGGATGTAGGTCTGTCGTTCGGAATCCTGTCAACTGAGCCCTAAATTTTGCACACCATGTTGAATAGGAAAGTTGATTTCACCCGGCTCCTCGAAGATCTTCCGGAGAGTTTCCTGTGCCAGCCGACCCCAGGCTACGTCATGAACCCGGAAGTTTGAGGGACTCGACAACTCTGAGAGGAGGCCTGGGATCTTTCGTTCCAGTCTTGCTAGGGCCATGGGCTCGCACGATGCTGGTGGCACGGCATGTACTGCTACCACAACCGACACCACTTCAATTTACAACACGACTTCTACCGAAAGAACAACAACCGCAACAACCGCAACAACTCCTGCTCCTCATCCTCCTTCCTCGTCACTAGGTAGTGGCAGTGGCAGTCGTAGCAGCAGAAGCAGTAGTAGCAGCAGCAGGAGCAGGAGCAGGCCGCGAGGAATTGATCCTTGGATCAGACTTACAGCTGAAACCGCTGAAACCCGAATCTGAAGCCAGAACCAATCACAAACACAAAGCCCCTAGTCTCGGAAAATAGCAAAAAACTCTCGACCCATAGACTATGACAACATATGACAACATTCAAACCGTGTTTCGGGAGATATACCCACAGCCAAACCAGAATCAAAGCCAAGGTGATCCGGCGAGCGGCAACTTGGCTTTTCTTCTTGCGCTCGTACTTCACGGTGGCGAGTTCCTGCAAGCATAGAACCGAGCTTCCCGAATTAGCCCAATGAGTCTCAATGTGCAAGAGTTGTGCGCGACATCAGAATGACACCCTACACCGCTGGATTCCATGCCCCCTGATTACCCGAAAGTTTCGGAATTCACGCACACACACACACACACAAAAAAAAAGGGCGTGCGTGGTTTCCGGGCAGCTTGCATCCAATGCTACACACCAACGGTGGCAATGGTGTGGTCACACATGCTTACGAATCTGCATGGTGTCTATGGGCAGCTTTCGCTGACATGTCTTCCATGAACTCCATCCATGAGCCTTGTCGGCACTGGCGCTTTCAATCGCCGTGTTACCTTGGAAATAGGAAACATAACTGATGATGTTGTTTCTTATTCAGCGCTTCAACGGCGGGAGACTAATTACATACAACAGATAAAATGGGTTCTTGCATGAGAGGCTTTAAAACACTGTACACCGTTTGCAGCTTGAGTTAGATCCACATACAAGCCCTGACGGCACGGAGCTTGGACTGCATGAACAGCTTCATACTGGTTGCACTCCACAAAGCAACCACACTCTGAAATTACGACGACTGCAATTTCGCTGGCAGACAAGCAAGCTCTTTCAATGCAGGTAATGGCAAGTCTTCAGGCGGCATCTAATCAAATCTAATCCCTTCCGACCGTTCAATATCACTCTGGAACAAAAACTCTAACCTTACAGTTGTCCATTCGGTATCTGACAAGTATGTTCAACGCTCCTCTGGCTATCCCTGCTGGTCGCATCCACTCGGCCCTCACTCATCCAGCAAATTATGCCGCAAGCATCTACCACCGGATTGGTTATACACGATAAACTGGAGATGCCCTGTGCACGTTTACAAGTTGCAAAATTGGCCTCAAGAAAACGGCATTTATCCCATACTTTTGAATTGTTATATTTATAGTCTTCCTGGGCTGCGACCTTTTTTCAATGAGCAGAAGCACTGACGAGCACAACATCATCACATTGGAATTCGCGGAGCTAGATCGGGTGTTCTGTTCTGGCTGCAATGCAGTGGCTACGCACGTCGTTTCGGGTTCCGCTGCGTGCGAGGCTTGAACTGGCCGCAAGTTAGCTGCACAGGGGTTGACTCTGTCGCCTGAGTCCAGGTGTTCTGACGGCTGTTGGCCAGAGTCGGTATGTTGAGCCAATTGTAAGGCCAGCGCTCTCCACACCACCCCGGAAAGCGCTTTGCCTTCGACGCCTTCGACAGTGAACCCTCCTTCCGACATGCCCGGACATGCTGAGAGGGATGCGCTCGGCAGCGTTGCACCAGAGCGTCCGATCGAAATAAGTGTCACAAGCCAACACACCAAGAGCCAACGAAAGCCCTTGCCCTGAGAACAATGCAGGCCCAAACTGCGAGACGGACGCTGCCCCATATGCTGCGTTTGCAAGTGGCGGGCGCGCGGATGTTGCCCTAAACTGTTCGCAAGTCTGTTGCGTGCAGACCAAAGACAGATTCAGGGTCTTTGATTCGCAGGGTCAAGCCCTAGAGCTCAGTCCCGACATTCAATACTGCAAAAACCCCAATGAAGATGTACAGCATATAGATTTTGAAGTGCTCGATGCCGCCAATCATCGACGCAGCACAGAAGCATGTCCTTAGATGCTCTCCGCGGACAAGTACCTCAGTACAGGGAAGCAAGCGCTTCTCTGACACAACCGCCAACAGGCAGCACAGTCAGAACGTGTGCAAACAGAACAAGACATGCGCAGTCAGGCCCAAAAGTACCCACCCTCCCAGCCCTCACCGCCCAATCACCCCAGGCAACACCAGCCCCTCACCGAAATCTCCTTTCCCACATCTGCAGTTGGACAAAGGTGAGCCACTCACGGACCTCTCGGAGCCGGCGGAGGTCCTGCGGCCCCCCCTCAACTCGCCACCCGAAACGAGCCGTAAGTGGATTCCTAGGTTTAGGGAGGATACGCGGTCGGTGAGGACATGTCCACCGGAGGTGGTCTAACGTGCCCAAAGCACCGCATCCCCAAATGCACAAATGATCACGAGGACCCTCTCTGCAATCAATGGATGCAACCTGCCACGTAGCTGGTGAGAAGCAGGCTCCAGATGCGACTGTCGCTGCAGCAGCACTAGAGCCCGCCCAAGCCTGAGTGTCTGGCCAGTTAAGGTTGCGCAGGCCCTGGCCTCCAGCCTGCCACAAGTCAAAAGTCCTGAGCTCATGGCGGTCACAGGCAACCCATTGGGTTGCAGCCCAAGCTCTCCAGCCCTGTCTGAGGCAGTGCTGCTGCCGACCGATCCTGTCTTTGAGCGCCTTCTGCGTCATGGGGCCCCGGCCAGCAGTAAGGTCCAAGCGGAGCCCAGCAAACGGATGGCTCCAACGCCACGGTCCAGCCAGAAGCCAGCCCCGAGCGATGAGCCACGCATTCAAAGCAGCTGGGGCCGTGCCGCGCATGAGAGTCCACAAGACAGGCTCCTTACTAGCACGCTTAAGCACAGCACCTACCAAGCGCACAGCCCACTGCACGTCGAGATGGCAGTTGGTCCACAGCAGGGCCCGAGTCCATGGATTACTGTAGTGAATACGACCTGAGGCCTTCCACATACAGGTCCAGAGCTTCTTGCATGCACCGAGCGTAGGAGCTCTAGATATCCATCCAAAGTTAGCCTTGGAAAGAGCGAAGGTCTTAGCTTCCCTCAGAAACCTAGCAAGCCCGAAACCAACACATCCCAGAAGCTTAAGGCGGCGCTCAGCGGACTGCAGTCTCTTAGCTTCCGCCTCAGTGTGGGTCCGCGGCCCAAAGTAACTACAAGCGCCCAGCAACTTGACATGCTTACGGACCGCATCAGGCCGAAAAGTTTCCGCCAAACTGCGGGTGAGGGCCGCAGTAATGGCAGTAGCATCAGTCTTAGCCGGATGCTCAAGCAGGCCAACAGAAGCCGACCACTGGGCCCAGCTCTGCTCCTGCAGAGACAGCACCCTTGCCTCGCGAGCGACGATGGTCCTGTCATCTACGTAGACAGTAGTCTGCGCAGACTGGGCCTGCGTCAGGCCCCGCACCGAGAGGAGTCCTGCTTGGGCCCACAAGGCCATGATCAATGGTCCAAGCGGGTCCCCCTGCGGTTGTACTCCAGCCACAAGAGGCTCCGGATGACAGTGGTGTTGAAATTGGATGTACCTAGCCAACTGCATCCAAACGCTACTGAAAACGCGCAAAAGATCAGGGGGCCACTTCAACTTCCGAAGCATTTCAATGGTAACCCGGGCATCCAAAGCATCAAAAGCTTTCGTGAAGTCCAAAGCTAAAACCATACCCTGCTCAGCCAGCTGCTCGAAAATCCTGAGCAAAGTGACATACAGATCCTCGCCGTTAATCGCAGCGATCTCAGGCATCAACACCGACCGCATCCAGGTTTGGAAGGCGTCAGAATGATACAAAGTACTCACCCATTGAAGATGTACAGCAAGAAGAAGAAGAAGTTTTGAAGTGAGGACGCCCTCAACGACGGCCGCACATAAAAGCGGAAGCAAAATGCATAACCTTAGCTGCGCAAAAGCACTTCCGGACCTTAGCTGCGCGGGACAGCTGAGAACCTGCAGGGGCAGGTCAAAAGACAGCAGACACTAAGTCAAGCGCAAGAGGACATGAAAAACTAATCCTCCGGCGGACGACCGTGGCGTTGACGCCAGATGGCGCACTGCACGACCTCCAACCAAGCCACCAAGCTACGAGCATCCTGAGCATTCAGATCTCGGGGGACCCAGCCAAGACGGCGCCCGACCGAAGTGTTGGGGGGAAGACATCTCTGGGAAGGACGGTTTTGGCAGAGCCAAGCAACATGGTGCCAATGACCTAAAGCCCCACACCCCCAGGGACAGAGGGTGGACGTTTCATCTCTGCTGTTTTGAAAACAGGCCGGAGTAGACGTAGCCAGAGAGGCCACCGTACGATAACCACGGTTATCCTGGGAGAACCTGCGGGTCTTAGCAAAGTCGAACTGGAGGATCTGAGCCGGAGACACATCGCTGAGCTCCTGGACTTCATGTCTCTGCCCTCTGGTGAGGAAGGCCTTCCACTGCCCCGCCCTCCATCCCTGCCTGAGGGCGTGAAGGAGCAAAGGAACTGCTGTACCGGAACTGAGATCAACTCGCATTCCGGAGTACAGCCCCGCCAAGCCCAAGGGCCCGTTTCAACCCAGCCTTGCTCCGCCATCCACTTGCGGAAAGCTTTGAGCGGCGAGCCCGCTCTGTTGTGCCACTCAACCAAGCCTCTGTCACGAATGCCGGCCAAGGCGCGAAGCAAAGACCCAGCAGACACTATATCAAGATGACTGTTGCCACCGAGAAGGATAGCACGGACATGCCTATTAGCCCTCCGTAAGCATTTCTGACCCGAACGCATGGCAGTCCACAGGGACCATGCATCAGACTTGTTCGGCAAGTTGCAAAGCCACCCGTAAGCAACCTTGGCAACCCCGAAATTACGAGCAACGGAGTGAAAACGCTCAAAAGGCAACCCAAGATTACCCAAAACGGCGATCACGCGTTTAGCAGCAGCGAAACGAGCTTCCTCCTTGGCAGACTTAGCCCGGTTAGAGACTCTAGCCGTGACCCCAAGAACTTCGAGCTGATCAGTGACCTTTTCAGGGTCCGAAAAAGCTACCATAAGGGCCCGGCGGCGAGCGGCAGTGGTGGCCGTGAGCTGAGTCTTGGGCCGACTTTCTTGGAGCCCCACAGTCTGAGACCAGCACTGCCAGTCCGTGAGCTTGACGACTAGGGCCCTAGCGCTGCGAGCAGTCATGGATCTGTCATCCATGTAAACACACGTGTGTCCCAAACCAGCAGCCCCAGTAGAAAGCTGGTTGGTGGCTTTTAAGCCCGAGGCCATCCAAAGTGCAAGACTAAGGGGACCAAACGGACAGCCCTGAGCCGTCGCGTGGCCGGCGAAAAGAGGCCGACCATGGCAGCAGTTGTCCCAGCAGACCCACCTAGTCTGCGACCCCCACACTGCTCGACACAGGCCCACAAGCCCCTGAGGGAAACTCGCAGCCGTCATGAGCCGAAGCGTGCCCTCAGGTCTCATGAGGTCATAACATTTCGTGAAGTCAAGGGACCCCCCATAGCCGTCCTTGGCCATGTGCTCAAAGAACACAGCTGCCGACTGCAAAGCGTCAGCTTTCTTACCGTAAGCGACTTCTTTGGGCAAGTTGGCACGCAACCAGGCTTGGAGGCTGGGAGTTTGGATCCAAGCGCTGGCCCACAGTCTCCAAAAGCATGACATGATGCAAATGGGACGGACATGTTCGATGTCAACAGTCGAACCCTGAATTTTGTGCGGTTTAGGAAGATTAATCATGCGAGCATGCAAAAGCTGAGCCGGACATTCACCCAGCCTCTCCCAGAGCAAGGCCTGTTCACGGAACAAGCGGAGGGCCTCCAACGGGAGGTGTCTGAGCTCCTTGCCCGCCCAGCCGTCCGGGCCAGCAGCCCCTTTAGCCTTGCGGACTATCGTCTCAAGAAGTTGAAGAGTGGGAGGCTCCCACTGGATTCTTGCCGTATCCCTGAGAGCATTGCGTTCCAAAGCAGCACAGACGGAATCCGCATCTGGGCCCCTGTCGTGAGCCGAAGCCCAAAACTCCTCCCAGTACTCAGTGACCAGGGCAACGACCTCTTTAGGGTGGTGAGCCGAGCGACCCAAGCCTGTGACTTCATTGACTGGCACAAGTTCGCGTTGCTTAAGCCAGGTGCCCATTCCCGAGGGCTCATGCAGGATATAGTTTCTCCAAGCCCGAAGAGCTTCCCGACGCTGATTGGACTCAAGCGTTCGGAGTTCTTTTGTCAGCACGGGAATCTGCGCGCGGGCCCAAGGCAACGCTTCATGACTCCAGGGGCCAGCACGAAAATCAAGCTTTCTACACAAGGCATAGGCTTCACTTTCACGGGTACGGCGTTGGGGATTCGGGAGTTCACACCAGCGTTTGAGCTCGTAGGTGCGAGCGAGCTTCCTGCGGAGCTTTCGAGAGGCACACTCACCAGGACAGCGAGCAGGCCCAACCCTGGCCCACTGCCGTTCCTTCCAAACAGGGAGTCTACCTTTGGCAAGACTCGTACCCCAGTTGCGGGAGACCGTATGCTCAAAATCAAAACAGCTGTTAGACGAAGCCTTACAAGCCCTAACGGCGTTGAGGAACGTATCATGTAAAAGAGTCATGTACGTGTCCCAAGCAGTCTGAACGCTGAGAGTGCGGAGCTGGAGCGCTGCTTCAAACTGAGCCACACGTGGGTCCTGCGCCCATGCGTCAGCCAGTCCTTGTCGCCAGGCATCTGTGTCGAGGCCAGCCGGTTTGGCCCAGGACACTGAGCCCTGAAGGTACCCCACAGTGCAGTCCCTGCTGCGGATGGCGACCTGAGTGTGGACCGCTTTGTGGTCACTAAAAACCAAATTAGAGCAAACAGGAGCCGAAAGAAGGCCGGGAGAGTTGGTGGCGACCCAATCTATCTCCCTGTTTCCAGTCCATCGAGTGGGTGCAAGCACCTGACCCCCGTACCCTTGAAGAGTGAGCTCGACGCTGGAATCTCCTGGGACTTCGTTGGCGTCCCCACAAGCAAGCCAGGGTCTGGAAAAGTCTACTCGAGCAGCTTGAAAAACCTCCTGCAGGCTGCGGGAAGCTTCCTGCTGTGGATCGTTGCCTTCACCAGGAGGCGGGGCGTAGAAGGCGGCGTGAAGATGTACAGCATATATAGATTTTGAAGTGCTCGACGCCACCCCAATGAAGATGTACAGCAGAAGAAGAAGAAGAACTTTGTGATGTGCAACTGCCGCTCGTTCGACACCGCACCAAACCACCCAACCACCGAAGACCACGAAGCCAAAGGCGAGGGACAGCGCACCACGTCGTTAGCTGAACAGAGGAAGCCAGAGCGTCCTTAGCGAAAGCGAGGGGAGGCCAAGCAAGGCATCACCTTAGCTGGAGTCTTGCAGGAAGACTCAAAAACATCAGGCCGTTCAAGCCTCCTCTGAAGGAGCAGCGTGAGAACAAGCCCACAACTGCTTCTGGCATCGGACCAAGTGGCGACGCACCCTAGCCGTAGCATCTCGAGAGACACCGCTGACCTTCCAACCGAAGCGCGCGACATACGGGCAAAGAGGCCGAGGGGGCCTAACAAGCACAGCATCAGCGGAAGAGCACTCCCACGTGATATGTCGCCAGGAACCGAGACGACGGCACCCCGGCCAAATGCAAGAAGAAGCATGAACCGGGCGACTGTCGACAGCAAGCCAAGTCGCAGGACTAAAGGAGGCGCCAAGGGCAACCGTACAAGCAGGGGCAGAAGACGCAGCCCACGCCCTCACGTCCTCCCAATCAACGTGAGGAAAGTCACGAAGAGAGAGACCACGCACCTCATGGCGACCATAGTCAAGCCACCGCGACGCGCACCAAGCCCGCCAGCCAACGCGGACCTGATGCTGAAGGGAATCATGCCGGTTCCGCTGCGGGGCAACGGGAGTCGTAAGGTCAAGAGCGACACCAGCACACTCATGCTGCCACCGCCAAGGCGCAAGGAGTTTCCAACCTCGCTCAAGCAACCAACCATGCAACGCAGCCGAAGGCGAGCCACGCAACAAGGACCAAGGCATGGGAGTGGAAGCGGAGCGCTTAGCCAACGCACCAACCAGCCTGGTGGCCCACAAGCAGTCCAAGTGCACATTGGTTCCAAACACCAACGCCCGAACCCAAGGAGAAGAGTACCTCACTCTGTGGGCATGTTTGAAGCGACCAGTAAACAGCATCTTAGAGAGCTGCAACGTGGGAGCACGAGCAACCCACCCGAAGTTGGCCTTGGACATGGTGAAGACTTTAGCGGCCCCAAGAAACTGGCGCAAGTGCATCCCAACGCAAGAGAGGAGAGCAAGCGTGGTTTTGGCAGCCTGCCCCCGTTTAGCTTCCTGCCCCGTCAGAGCGCGAGGAGTAGTGTAAGTGCTGGCGCCAAGGGCCTGGACGACCTTGACAACACGGTCAGGAGGGAAGCAAGCCTTCAGACGAGAGACTTGCTTAGCCGAAGCCCCAGCAACCCAAGACTTCAAAGTGTTCTCAACCGAGCCGGCACTGTGACTCCACTGCAACCAAAAGTCCCAAACACTCGCCAAGCGCCTAGGACAAGCGTCAACAACCGTGCGATCATCGACGTAGACTTTGTTGAAAGACACAGGGGCCGCCCCAGGAGCAGCAGCATCAGCAGTCCGCCTTTTGACGACTTGGAGGCCGGCTTGGACCCACAAGGACATCATAAGCGGGCCGAGCGGATCTCCCTGGGGTTGGCCGCAACCATGGAGAACCTGAGGCCTGCAATGATGTTTCCACTGAACGAAGCGCAACTGATGACACCAAGCACTGCGCAACATAGCAACGACACCAGGCGGTGTTGAAGCAACCGGATCGACACATCAGCATCAAGCGTGTCAAAAGCTTTCGTGAAGTCAAGCGTGAGGATGTGCTTCTTAGTGGCGAACTGATGCATCACTTCAGCCAAGGTCACGCAGATGTCCTCGCCCGTAATCGCACCAATATCAACAGTCAGGTTGCCACTCCTCCAAGCCTTGAAGTCAGCTGACTGATACCACGCAGAAGAAAACAAGCGCCACCAGACACTAGCAATGCTGATAGGTCTAACATCTGCAACGCCGAAGGAGCCCTGCTGGTTCCGCTTCTGGGGTTTAGGGATGCAGACCATGCGGCTTTGCTGAAGCTGCAAAGGCACAGACCCTTGATCGTGCCAAGTATGGACAAGCAACTCAAACACGCGGAAGACTCCAGCCGGTGGGTGCATAATCTCAGAACTATGCCACCCGTCAGGGCCACCAGCTCCCTTAGCCTTGCGGGCACGAGCACATAAGTCATCGGCGCAAGGCAACGACAAAGACGCAGGCCGAAGAGGCCTGTCGACGCCTTCAAGAACAGCCGCACACCGCTCTTCGAAGCTAGGACGCTGACTATGCAAGTCACGCCAAAAGTCGCGCCAAAAGGAGGCGATGGCATCAGCAGCTTCACAGACAGTCTCGGTGTGCCGTCCTTGCTGATCAATCAGTCCCTCCGCAGCAGGCGTAGCCTTAGATCTAAGCCAGTTACCAAGCTCACCGACATCACTCTGGACCCGATGCCTCCATTCGCTCAAGCGGCGGTTCTTTTCTTGCTGCTCCTCTTTGCGGAGGGCATCTTTAAGAGAGGACACTTGAGCCCTGGCCTCAGCCAAAGAGAGGTCACCACAACGTTGCTTCAAGGATTGGAGGTTGCGTAATGTCTGTGCACCCGCAGTGTCATCGGCCTGCTTTAAGCAAGACATGTAGTCGTACAGTCGAGCCAAGCACCGACGCATCTTACGATGTCTCATGACCCCGTGCTCCTGCCTAGGTCCTCGACAAGGCTGAGACTCCCAAGAGACAGTGGCAACAGCCCCTTTAGCAGCAAGTCTCTTCTTAAACGGCGCAGCAACGCCACACTCCTTAAAGGCAGCACTGAAACAAGCCTGCAAGCAACCCTGAAACTCATCCCAAAGTTCTTGCACACAACAGCCGGAGCCATCGTGGAGCTTTGCGCAAAGCTCAGAGAACTCAGTAGAAGCTTCCCAGGCCCGCTCGAGAGCAGCCCGCCAAGCCTCGACACTGAGTTCCTTAAGTTTCCTCAAGTCTGCTACCCGCGGCAGGACTCCAACCTTGGTAGCAGGGCGCGGCGTACCAAAGTCAACGACGAGGCCCTTGTGGTCGCTTAGGTGCCAAGAAGCAAACCGAACCTTCGAAAGGGAACTCAGCTGGTTAGAGCAAAACCAATCAATTTCTCGACTTCCTAGCCATCGAGTGGGGGCTCCTACAGTCCAAGTGCTTCCATTGAAACTGTGGAGCAGGTCAGCAACAGCAGAATCAGTCGGAACTTCATTGAAATCCCCTCCCAGCAGCCACGGATGTGATGGCTGGAGGGCCTCCTCAAGGAAAGCGTCGTGCAGAAGTTGAGCAGCCTGACCAGGGCCTTCCTCCCTAGGGGGACATACATGTTAAGCAAGAGCCACCCCGACACAAAGACTCCTACCATCTGCGCGCTGTCAAGCGCCTTGCAGACCGCAGGTCTCTGAGGAAAGGCCTTGTTCACAAGCGTAAGGACGCCGCCACCTTTGTGACGAAGAGAAGGCTGAAAGTACGTAGTGTAACCCTTACCTTTAGTGCGACACACCTTGGCGAAACCCGCAACCTCAGTGGGTGCGAGAGAAGCTCCCTGAAGGAAGACGACGTCCGGCTGCTCCTGAGCAAGGACGTGGTTAGCCACTCGCCATGCACCAGGCGCGCCCTGGCAGGTGAAGCTAAGGCACCGAGGGGCAGGGTGAGTGGCCTCACCAACTCTGACACCCCTAAAACCACCAGTCCGAGAGCAGGCCAGCTCAGAACGAGTGAGGCCTGGAGAAGAGCCACTACCACTACAACAACGGCGTTTCTTGGGTTTGGGCTTGGCCTTTGACTTAGTCGCAGCAGCCCGAGGCCGGGCACTAGAGCTAGCAGCAGCAGAGGCCTTCGAGGCTCGCAGGGCACGGGAAGCATCGAGGGTCTTTTGCCTCTGCAGCTTGAGTCCAGCACACCAGGGAGTATTGGGCTTAGGCTTCGAGCGCTTAGGCTTTTTGCTGCTCCGCTTCCTGCTACTGTAAGTTTCACGACCGACCTTGAAGAAGCCATCGAGGTATTGCTTAGAGCGATTAACAGCTTTGAGGAAGTTCGCCGCGTGAAGAGGCTCTGCTTCCTGAAGGTGCTTCCACCAAGCACGTTTTTTACTCAAGGAGAAACCGTTCGTCTGAAGAAGCTCAAGGCGCTCTTGACACGTCAGAAGCTCGTGAGCCTGAGTGGTTTTTACCGAGTTTACTAAAGCACACCGAGCAGTACCAAGCAGTACCTCGCTCGCCCCTCTCACGCCTCTCAACCGTGTCAACCTGAACAAGCGTGTGGGTGGCAAAACGCTCTTGGCGCTTCTTGTCGTGAGCAGCAGACAAAGCCTTGGAGGTGCCCTGCTTAGGAGCACCTGTGGCTCCCAAAACAAACAGATCCCTCAAGGTAAGACCATGAGTCTCAGCATGCTTGCGCTTAGCACGCTTAAAGGGCTGAGAGGCCAACGGAGGAAGCCCCGCCTTACAACCCTTAACCGGACAGGACCAACTTCTGGCCTCAAGCGGAAGAAGTTCACTGGCACACACTTCGATTGGTTTACCAACTTGAATGAGTTCAAGGGGAAGTTCGGGGTGCCTGGAAACCCAATGATGCCTTTTAGAAGTACTCAAGGAAATTTCCTTAACCTTGATATGAGCCGAGCACACCGGGCAAACTCAGGGCTCCGGAAGGAGCCCGCCATCCTCGGCAGCTTCAGCAGCGCCGACATCAGGTTCCCCGCTTCCAACCGAGCCAAGCCGAGAAGCTTGAGAGAGACCGAAGCCAGCCTTAGTTCGAGCAGCACCTGGGTCACTACTCAGTTGAGACAGGCTAAGAAAGCCCTGCCGTTTACCAAGCAAGCGTCGCCTTTTGGCAGGCTCACCACGCTGGAGGGCCTGAAGCGCTTTGCTGTTCTGGACACTTTTGTCCCGCTCCTCAGAAACCTTGAGAGGGGTGCTTGGAGGCAAACTGAGCGCACAGGAAGCTTCGCTACACCCATCAGTTTCACAGCCCTGTTCCTTACCTCGAGAGAAGGCAGCACTCAAGCAGAGCCGGAGAGATCCAGCTGAAGACCTCCCGGAATTTCCACTTCGAACCCTTTCGGTACTTGTATCGGAGCCTCTAAAAGAGCCGATTTCTGGGCCTGAGCCTATGGAGCCACAAGGAAGCCTTCTTTCCGCAGCAGAAGCCTTGGGAGTGGAGCCCGCGAGGGAGAGGGCACAGCTACGTTTAGAAGGAGTAGAGCCAGGAAGGGACAGACCGCAGTCGGACCCAGCTCCTTTGAAGGTACTCGGGGGCCTTTGGGGCGTTTCTTGGTACCAGGCGTCAGGTGTCCGAACCTCGGGGCCAGTTTTGAGGAGGACTCTGTAGTGCCTACCCTTTAGGACGACAACGACAGGTGCCTTGTCCTTCGTAGTTTGGGCATAACCCTGGTGGAACCACGGGGCCACGAAGTGCCTAAGCCAGACCCCGTTGGAGGAGAGGAACCAAACAATGATGGGGATACCGAGCCTTTGACTCAATGCGCGAAGCATGTACCCGTCGATCCAAGCATCGCGACGAGCGCACTTTTTAAGGTATTCCGCATATGTGTTGGGAGGCTCCTCGCCCCCCCACTCCAAGGACGTGTCTTGCGGATCTGGGGCCCAGGCCTCGGCACCTCCATCCTTGTCGTCCTTATGCTTGGTGAGATGGCTCACTGTGTACAACCTCAGCGTGCTAGCCTCCCGAATCAACTGTTCGGGAGTAAGAGTTTTGTTCTGGTTCGCCGCGAGTCCCGCAGCAATGGCACGGAATCCGCAATCGCCGGTGCCCCCGGCATCCTTGATGCACCAACCTGGAGCGGATTCAAGCAAAGAGCCATCCTCGTCCTTGGAAGGATTGGGCTTGGGCTTGCGGCTACGGGGTGAGCGGCTTCGTGGTTTAGACGCCTCATTGTCACTTTCGGGCCACGTGGCCGTAAGAGCATCACCAGCATCATCATCATCAACATCAATCGGGGTATCGAGCCAGCATTCCTCATGAGTAGCTGGGGAGTCCTTGTCAACCCAGCGCCGCTTAGGCCCTGAGATGTTAACCTTTTTCAATTCCTTACGTCGCCTCGGGGCCTCGGGGGCGACCGTGACGCAGCAATCGACATCAGAGTAACACCAAAAGCAATCCTTGGCAGTGTCGCTAGGGGCGCAAGCCATGAAAACCCATTCAACGCCGGCGCCTCAGGTCCAGCTCCTGCGCCGCGTAGTCACACGAGTTTCGGTCCACCGTTGTTGGCGAAGCAAGTGCGCAACGTCATGCTGATCCCACGCATGCGGGGCACCATGCATGACGAAAGCTTTCGGTTTGTTAGGGGAGTCCCAAGTGACCTCACCACCAACAATACCCAGATCACTTAAACCATGCTGCCTGATGGCCAGCGGCTTTCCCTGGTCCTCAGCAACAGAATGGACGGTGCGAAAATACTCCTCGAAAGAACCTTCATTTCGCTTAACCCAAGCCACTCCCGAAGGAGAGGAACTTTTGGACGAAATCATCGTGAATATACCCCTGAAACCACTCTGTTGCGTAGCGAGGTTCGCGATGGCGACGGGGACCCGAATGTGTCCTTGAAGCGTGGAGCCCTTAGTAGTGGTAACATTCTGCCATGTTCCACCAGTGAAGGTGGTGGCAGGTTTACCCAGCTTTTTTGCGAGTTCCGCAATGATAGTTGTGGGACTGTCCCACGGGTCTGCATCGATGAACAGCTGACGGTATTGAGTCGGCGCAAGCACTCTGAGGGTGCTCATTTCGACTTTGGGTTTCGGACGAAAGGTGACCGTGGTAGGGGGCCTCGGTTCTGGGCCTGAAACAACAGTAAGTTGAGAACATCTAAGCTTCAACCTCTGCGGTTTTGAGTCTGGGCTCGAGGCTCCGTGCCACCACACTGCACAAGCAGGCTCCGAGCTAGCAGCTGGCGCGACCTCAGCGAGCGTAACGGCGTCATGAACATCGAAAGCCGCGATGAGGTTTTGGAGCACCTCAAGCGTATCGTCAGAACGGCTGATAACCAAGTTACCGGGCAGCCCCTTTCCATCCTCCAAAGCATGCTGGATCTGATTAGGAGTGGTGAGGCGAGGATCGCAATTCCACTCAGCGGGCACGATTTTAGCAGCGAACCTGCTACCATGTTGTTGAGGCTTCACCAACCCGGTTGAGGCCCGATGACCTTGCGTTTCTTAACCTTGGGGCCTTCGGGGCTCACAGGTGTAGTGGACTGCAAAAAGGGCCAATCACTCTGTTCAAGCTCGTTAACCCCTTCGTCCGAAGATTGTGCATGCCACTTTTTGCGGCGCTGCTTTTTCCAGTATTTCCACTGCTCCCAAGCAGCGGGGTCCCACCAACCCGTATCGGGATCATAAGCCGAAGCATCCCACTCGCAATCAAGGGCAGAATACCAAGAATCATAATTAACCCAACCAACCTCATGAGAAGAATGAGCCTCGTGCCACCCAGCATCTTCGACCTCAGGAGAGGAGTAGCGCGGATGAAAGTCCTCATCCTCGGGTGGGTTTGCCGGGTGAGCCGCATGCAGACCTCCAAGCTGACCCTGAAGGGCTTGGATGACCATGTTAGCGATTTGTTGCATCGTCTCAACGGAGAGCTCAGGAGCATCATGAGCTCTTTCATTTCTCATCCTAACCGTGCGCCCTGAACCTCCGGCCCTGGGGCCAGGATTTGTGGCCTCGCCCACCCTGACAGCAAGGTAAGGATTCCAACCTATGCAAAGCAGAACGTTAAGCACAGGTTGCAAGATCTCTCGCATCCACGTGCCAAGATCCGAACCCTGAGAAAGATCCTGGCCATCGTGAGCTTTAAGGTCCGCGCCGAGGTCGCTACCACAAGTGGCGCAATCATCACATGACTGAGCCGCTGGCCTCGGCAGGCCGTCTGCCCAACGACCAATAGTGCGAGCGGCGGAGTCTGATCATCAAAGAACGACGTCTGTACCTCAACCTTGCTTGCTTAGCACGAGCCTTGCCAACCCATCTACACCGAAACACAACTCGCCTACTTTGCCCTCGGCGCCGTGACAGCTGTGACTTGTTCTGAGGATCAAGCGGCGAAGCTAAGCTCCCACTGCTAGAAGACTCCACCTGAGTGTCCCTATGCACCCAAATGAAGGAAAAGAAAAGCCCCAGGCCAAATTGGCCTAGGAGAACAGCGAGTGCCATCCTGAGTTGTGCGGGTAAGCCAGCACCTGCCAGGATAAAGTAAAGCTGACTACTTGTTGGTAAGCCAACAAACAGCTCCCTATCTACAGAAGTGAAACCTTCAGCATCAAAAGGGGCAAAGTCCTCACAATCGCTGCTGAACAAATACCCGGAACTAAACTCATCACCATCGGTTTCTGCAGAAGCATTTCCAAGCCATGGCTGAGCAAGACCGTGAAACGAAGCTCTACAGAGGAAGCCCGAAGGGCAGTGGTGATCTAAACTCGCAGAAAGAGCCCCAACCAGACGCTGAAGATGTACAGCATATATAGATTTCGAAGTGCTCGACGCCGCCAATCATCGACGCAGCACAAAAGCATGTCCTTAGATGCTCTCCGCAGACAAGTACCTCAGTACAGGGAAGCAGGTGCTTCTCTGACACAACCGCCAACAGGCAGCACAGTCAAAACCGTGTGCAAAACAAAACAAAACATGTACAGCATATATAGTCTTGAAGACGATGTAGTCCCACTCCGTGAACTCACCGTCGACGATGTAGGCAAAGGAAGGCCAAGACTGGCCACGCAAGCTTAGCTTAACAACCCTAGGGACCTAGGGGCAGCGGCAAGGGCAGGCGGGGCTAAACCAAAAGGAAAAGAGCGAGCTGCAGACACTAAGCGTATCTGCGGTCAAGAAGTAGCTTTCTCACATGCGTGTGCCACATAAGCACGCTATCATCATACTCGCGGGAGTGGCCCATGGGCCAGGCCAAACGTTTTTGCAAACTATCCCTAGGAACCCTAGGCCTATCAGAGGTATCAGGCAGAGCACGGCAGTGCCAAACAACGTGCTCAAGCGTGCCAATCGAAGAATGGCAAAAAGGACAAGCCTTAGCCTCATCATCATCTCTATGGCCTTTCATGATACCATAGACAGCAGGAGAAACGAAAGCTCCTGACAAGACTGCACGCGAGGAGCGGCTCAAAACAGCCGCATTTCTAGCACTAAGACACCGCCTTGCCTCATAACCGACATGGTGACAGCAAAGCGCATCCCGCCTACCACTGTCCAGCCAACCATGATAATGACAATGGCGCCAGCTTTCACGCAAGTTGTGGCGCAGCATCTCAAGGTTGCTTTGCCATCCATTTCTCTTATTCAAAGAAAGAGTAAAACCAAGCGAGGGGTGACTCCATGTCCAGTCACCCGCCTTAATCCACTCAAGTCTGGCAAGCATGCGTGATAGAGCATCTGCCCAACCATTCCACCTGAACCAAGGCGAGGGAACGTCACATGCAGTAGTTTTGACCAGCCGCCAGGCTGCAGACAAGCTTGCATCACATGCGCGAAAATTAAAATCAAACATGTGTCCACGCAAAATACGCGCAAGGTGCTTGCTGGCCGCAACAGGTTCGTGCAAAGCTCTGCGTATAAGCTGCTCCACGCGGTTGCACTGTGCAAGAGTTGGGACCTGCATGAACCAACCGAAGGCAAGTTTGCTCAGGGGGCCTAAATTAATGCAGGTCATTTTGCAGTCAAGCGAAACTGGAAGAAAACCGGCACGCGAGATCATGCGACAAGAGTCGTCAATTCTCTGCTGTTCTTTTGTCGTGCATTTACGGGGCTTGGCAGCCGTGAGGCAGACTCCCAGAATGCACGGAGACTCAGTGACCATCCGTTCCGGCACACCGTTTTCAAGGAGTTTGGCACGGCCTTTAGCAGTTCTATGGTAAAATTGAGACTTTTCAACATTTTCACAAAGACCCAAAACCTTCGACCAATCTTCCCAAGCATCTAAGACCCGCAAGGCCCCTTCAACTGTGTCAGCACTCCACGTTCTCATCGATGAAGGACCGAAAAGTGACAGTAGGATTAACATGCATGATTTGCCAAGTAGCCGGTGTGAGTACGGCCACCATGGCGATCAACGACCAAGCGTCACCTTGTGGCAACGACCTGGAGACCGCAACAGGTTCAGGCAAGATCTGGCCATCATAAGCAAGAAACCTGGACTGATTAGACCAGAGATTCCTGAGAATGTCGGCGACGGGTTTGGGCATACCAAGCTTACGAAAGACCCTGTCTGAGACCATTGGGTCAACATGGTCAAAAGCTTTTGTATAGTCAAGCGAGATCAAAAATTCATTGCTAGCAGCTTTGGCGATGAGCGGCCCTAAGGCCTGAATCGCCTCTTTGCCCTTGCGGCCACCCGTGGCTTCAGCAGGCCACCAGGTATCAAGCCAGGCACGAGCTTCTGAAGAAGCCAAGCGAGCAGAATTTCAAAGTCTGTAAAAACACGAAAATATGGTCAAAGGTCTCAAGCTGGCAACATCACGAGAGCCGTCCGTGTCGTGAACACTTTCCCTGCCTTGTTCAAGTGAACTTGCTTGGAAACAGGCCAAGCGGCAGGCAGCAGGGAGGAGTTCTCACACGTAGCACAGAAACTAGCAAAAACTTCGAAAAACTCGATAGGCCAATCAACGAGCTCATTGCCCAGCCAACCGTAGGTCCAGCAGCTTTGTCCTTAAACTTAAGTACCTGAGCAGCAAGCACGTTTGCCGAACAAGGCGCCCAAGAGGCTGTCACCTGAGCAGCTCTAAAACCGACAGCATCACATGCACGATCAACTTTCTCAGCAAGCGCATTAAGGTCAACCGAAGGGCGAACCCAAACCTTACTCCAAAAATTCTTAATGAGGGCAAGGGATTCAGGCGTAGATCTAGTGGGGCGGCCATGAGTAGTCTCATGCAGACCACGGGACGGCTGGGGAGCGGCAGTCTTCAACCATCGAAAGCGACGCCCCTGAGAGGAGCGCAAAGACTCCTTCCAGGCATCAATCCTGCATTTACGGGCACTATTTCGCTCGGCTTGAATAGCCGCTTCCACCTGCACGGCCTGCTGCGCAACACTGCCGTTCAAAACAAGCGGCGACTGACGAATCTTAGCCTGCAAATTAAGATATTCACCCGTGAGCTGCTTACCCAACCTTTCAAGTTTTTGCATCTCACGAAGCCTGGCAAGAACATTACGAAGCTTACGCAAACGAAAACTATCTCCAACCTTGAGTTCAGGATGAGTTTGCAGAGCAGTAGTCTTAAGTACGAAATTACCTTTACGAGGTCTATTATCAAAATTAGGCAATTCGCTGTCAAGTGTTTCCTGCAGGGCCCTGCGCTTGGCAAAGCGCGAGGCCATTTCATACTTGAGCGACAAGGCAGACCACAGGCTGTCAATCCCTTCTTGGTCCGTGGTTTCCGGAAAAGCCAAGGGAACGAGGCGAGAAAATTCCTCGCGACACAGCTCCTGCCATCTCTTCTTGCAAAAACCTTTAGGGCGGGAAAGATCATTCGTGCGGTGGTGAAAACAAGCAGAATGGGGTTCACTACAGTAGTTGTGCAATTTTATTTCGCACGCAAAAACAAAATGATCAGCGAATGCATCATCAAGAAGCTGAGCTTTACTGATTCTTCCGTCAGTCTTGGTGATAGCATAATCAATGCATCTGCTGCCTCCCCACCTCGTGGGGACAAGACTGCCGTCTTGATTTCGGACGCAAACGGCACGATAGCCATCGTTCTCAAAGGCTTGCAGCACAGGGTGTTCTGAAGGCTCATCATTGTGGTCCCCTAAGCAACCCCAAGGAGTGGAAGGTGGAACCAAGTGGGCCATCTCAAGCTGGTGGCTATTAAGGGCCATGCGGGGTTCATTAGGTGGTTGATAACATGATGTCAAAGCAACATCTTCAATCAGCACCGTAACCGCTTGACCATCATCCTGCGAAAAAGCCTCGAGCTGACAAGAATGTAGGCGAGTGTGCACAAGCAAAAGCACCCCGCCCCAAGATTGGCGAGGCTTGTGACGACAATCAGCAAGGTAGACCCTGTAGCTGGCACGTTCAGCGGCACGCATCAGAGCATGCAGCTCACTCTGACGAAGCCCGACTTCTTGGATACAAATCACATCGACGTCTTTAGTCATGCAAAAATGGAAAAATTCCCAGGATGTGGCTCCGCTCCCTACATTACACGACAAGACCTTAGCTTGAAGAGAAGAAGCGGTGCGGGGCCCAGGGTTAGGATGGATATCACCGTGTTCACAGAGGTTAGGGACCCAACCTTTGCATATCGGCACGCGGAAACACTGCGTGGGGGAAAAAAGAGACACAGGCACGGTGTCCCTCTCCCCCAGCGTGTCACTCTTCAGTCTGCGACTTTTTCAAGGAGGCCCACCTTCGGGCAGACTCAGTGACAACGTTCACCCTGAACAGATCATCAAGTTCACGAAAGGACTTGCCCACTGCCTCAGAGAATGAAGCAGCAAAGCGGGGCTCTTCCTTCTGGATACGCATCCACCAAGTTCTGCGCTTGGCGGCAGCCTTCAGATTAGTGGCAATGTACTTACGCTTCTGAGCGCACTTGAGCATGTCAGGGGCACCTTTACCTTTCGGCAATGCTGTCAGGCACTTCTTGCAGTAAAACAGGCATCCACGAAGCATCCCGGGTTCGATCTTTTCATGCGGCATGACAGCCACAACACCGTGAGTAGGATGCTTCTTCTTGATGTTGCGCCTGTGAATCTTTCGGGCAGCCTCAGCTACCTTGGTGTGCGCCTTGGACCGGCCGCGCAAACTACGATAATACAGGGTGGCCGGAGTTTCATCGGGGTGATGCTTCTCGATATGATCCTTGATAGACCTTTTCCGATCTTGCTTGTGCTGCTGAGGCAGTCGAGCATCACACAAACGGCACTTCCAGCCGCCATCCTCAGGCGGGAACTGCGGAGACGCAGTAACGAGCTGCAACGGTGCCTGCTGCACAAGAGACATAGGCTTGTCGGGGTGTCTTGTCCTGAAGTGAAATCTGTTGCTCGAAATCACGGAGCTGTAGCGGCCCTCAATAGTGACCTCACAACAGGGGCAGGGCCATGACAAAAACGAGTAGGCCAGGGTTTTAGGCTTCTTAGAGGCTCTAGCAACCTTTTGCACAACCCTTTCGGTTCTGGGCTCCCGAAGGGGCCTCTTAGGGGTCCGCTTAGGGGCACACTTAGGGGAATCCACGCTACCGGGCTTAAACCACGAGCCAAAGTTAGAGCCACGATCGCTAGCACGACTGTGCTGATCACTGGAGACCGGCGGAGACGCGCGGGCGCTTGGAGCTGCTGCTGCGCGCAGCAGAAACAGGGGCAGTCATGTTCTTACGGCTGCTAGACGCCGAGCTGGCACGACCAATCACAGAGGCCGGTTTGAACCACGAGCTCTCCGAGGGAGTTTTCCCTGCCGCACGCGTGAAATTACCATTAGGGGTAGCGGATTTCCAATCCTTCGGCATAAGCGACTTGTCATGCAAAATGGTAGTATAGTGCTTATCAGCCAGGCACAGGACCAGCGGGTCCCGCAAAATGTGATCCTCAGCTTGAATACGGCAGCACATTTTCCATTTGCCGTTCTGCTTCTCGAAAATAAGCAAGTCTGTCTGCAGGCAGCTAGCAATGGCTTGAGCAGCAAGGCCATCGATCCACCTGGTTGCACGCCCTACGGCTGAGAGATACTCGGCAGCAGTCTTGGGCGGCTCACCATCTTCCATTTCAGCATCTGTGGTGGGATCAGCAGCCCAGTTGTCCTCCCATTCACGATGCTGCTTTAACCAAGCAATACAGCGAGCTTTGATCGATTTGGTGAGGTTTTCAATGTTGGCTTGAATCTCATCGACGGATTTGCCCGAGCGGGCAGCACAAGCAGCAGCGATGGCCCTGTAGCCACAGTCGCCATGCCCCCCAAGGTTCCAGATCGTGGTACCTCTAGGTCCGTTCTGGGCCTCACGAACCTTACGTCTAGAACCAGCGGCACCAGAAGCAGCAGTGGGCTTCGCGGTGGACTCAGGCTTAGCCCTTTTGTTGGGTTGCTTAGAAGGGCCGGCATTTTTCCCAATCTCTGGCTCATTTTGCGTGGCAGCGCTGGGGGAATCAAGTGCAGTGGGTGGTGCCTCCAATTGGCTGTCAACTGCATGACCTCAGTTTCCTCCTCCTTGCCATCAACAGTGAACCATTTTGAGCCGTGAGCATGCCAAACTTCACTGGCAACCGGCTTGGTGCGCGTCCATTTGGTAATGGTGATGACTTGCTCACCAACCTGGTAGGCAAAGGGGCCCTCTCCCGTCTCCGAAGGCTTGGCGACGCACGTCCATTTGCCCCTGGTGTGCTTAGGAGCGGTAACATGCTTGAAGTCGGCCCAGCCTTGTTTCTCGAGCCATTGCTGGAACGTGCCCGGACCCCAGTGAGAAGGAACTCCCGCGACGGTCCATTTCAGGGCCCCAGTCACAGTGACTGAGCCACCACGCAAACCTAAGCACGCTCCTCCACCGCGCCTGCAGGCGAGGGGAAGCTTGGAAGCCTGGGCCTGAGTGAAAACACGAGCGAAATACTGTTCCATGTCTTCAGTAGACAGCTTGGGGATCCACTGGACAGGTGCCTTAACTTGCGCAAGGTTGCATTGAAGAGGTTCAAGAAAGAGGCCTTTCTTGCCACTGACGGCTAACACCGAAGCAACCTTGTCAGGGCAGACCTTGGCGTAGCCCACAAGCTGAGTGCGACCATCCACGGCCGCCTCGCGCCAGCCGTAGGCGCGCACCTCTATGCCCACGGGGAGAATGGACATGAGGGCTTGGACCGGGTTGCGCTTTATGGCAGCCCAGTTGCTTGCAACAAACTCCTGGCGAACAGTAATTCGCACGGCAACGTGCTCGGTATCAGCAGGCGCCTCAACCTTTTTGACCTTAGGCTCTGGGGGGAGGTCTGGCAACTTGTCACCCAAGGGCACAACAGGCAGCTGCAACGCCCCGCGGTCCGTCAAGAACCACTTGAATGCCGCTTTGGAGGGCGCAGACTGCTTGGCAGGATCGAAATCCCAAACAATCAATGCCAGGGGAGCATTGGCAGGTGGCAAGTCATGCGCATCAGCCATGGCTTGGAGTTCAGGCAGGCTGTCAGCCTTGACGACAGCAAACTTAACATCCTTTGGAAGCGAGCCCTCCATCAAGGCTTTCGTCAAGGTGTGATACGAGCAGATCGCATTACTAGCGATAGTCTTAAAGCGCGGGGGCTTAGACTTAGGCACAGGCTTGGCAGAGGGCTTGTCAGGCGGCTTTTTGCGTGCCTGCGTGGCACCACCTTTCGGGCCCTCAACCCTCCTCACGGGTGGCATTTGTTGGCGTGGAGCTTCATACCAAGAAGTGTATTGCTCGTGTCTCCACGCCAAATCTCTCAAATCATGCAACAAACTGCGCTGCGCAGCACCGTTGCTATGACTGGACACAAGCTTTTGCAGCGCATGCAAGAGGCTGCTGTCCTCGCTAGGCGGCGGCGCAGAAGCAACCTGCGCCCAGGAGCGCGACGGCGGCGCATCCCACCATGCATTCTAGCCTTGTTCAGGCTGCCAATAATCGGCATCTTGCAATATGATCATCTTCGTAATCATCTTCGTCATCGTCATGACCGTAATTGCGTAGAACTTTGCTTAGAGCAGCGAGCAACCGTTGGTCTTTCTTGTTTTGCTTGCCATTCCCAGGCGTAGCCGTCCCACCGCGAAGCAACCAATGTTTTTGGACGTAATCGCAAGCAGGGGCAGTAGTCTTGGAACAAGCCTGCGGGCTAGGAAAGCGACGTGTGGAAGGCACACGCCGCCGTACAGTGAGCAGACTTTTGCACTTGGACACCAAGCAACAAGCAGCATGGAATCAGGAGGCATTGCAGAGCCCCCACAATGAGCATGAGGAGAGCTTCAAAGCAGTATGCAACCTCATATTCTGATTGGCAACGTAGGTCGCACGAAGCAAACCCCCAAACCTACGTTGCTTGACACGCGTTGTTCCCACTTTTCTAGCAGGAGACAACCTTGGCTTAACCCTTATTGTGGTTTCTTCGAACCAAGCGCACAGCAGTCCTGTGCATCCCACGCAAAAGATGCAAAGCACTAGACCAATGAAGGTCCAAGTGTCCACAAGAGATGCAAGATTTACAGAATCCAGCATCTTGACGAATTTAGCGGCATTTACGTTGCCAACTTGCTTGCATTCGGCTGGTATCACCTTCAATGAAAAGCACAAGAAGTACTGAACTGCTGAACCGACTCTGCACCTCGCCATCTGACTGCCAAAGAAACGCGAGGCCCGCATCCGCCACTCGGAGGCGTCGGTCCGGATGCTGAAGATGTACAGCATATATATATATATATGTGTGAACTTTTTGGTGTGGGAGTCCGTGAACGCCGAACTCCCACCAGAAGCGCAGAGGGTAGCAGCCAGAGAACGCCAGAGCCACCACCACTGCCTGTCCTTAGATGAGGCTTCCAGGGAAGCGCAGAGAGCAGCAGCCACAGCCGCCACCACTGCCTGACCTCAGAAAGGCGTCGCAGGGAGAGCGCTCGCCCTGCAGCGTCTGCGGTAGGGCCAGGGCCCTTGCTGAACTGCTAAAAGCAGCAGACCCGACCCGAGCCTAAGTCAGCGCTAAAAGCAGGAAGCGTTCCCCAGCGGAAGGACCGCTGAGAAGCAGACAGACACGGGTCTTAACTAGAGCCCATGAGTAACCTGCCAGAGCTCGCGCTGAACAGTGACAAGCCATTCACGCGTATCCTGAACAGTAGCTCGGTCATCACCTCTGCACGACCAGCCGAACCTCGCCAGCAGGGGGCTACGAGGTCTTCTCACCCTAGAGGGCCTGAGAGGGCACGACCACCTGATATGGTCTGCCGTACCGTACTGTTGGCGACGGAAACGACTGTGACGAGTCGCGTTCGTTAATCACGGCCCAATGAGCCGGGGAAAAAGTGGCACCCAGCGATACCGTGGCTGCCTCAGCGCAGCTGTCAGCCCACTTACGGGCGTCGTCCCACTGCACGAGACGGCGTCGATGCCATCCGACATCAAGGTTGCGCAGCTCATGTCGCTCGCTAGCCTCCCACTTGAGGGCGATCCACGCCCGCCAAGCCTCACGCACCGCATGTTGCGCCTTGCCCACAGCAGCCTTAGCGGGAAGGCCCCTAGGGCGGAGCACAAGGTGGTGCCGCCAGTGCCAGGCAGCAAGGCGCGACCAATGAGCCACTCGTCAAGGGCCCACGCCGGCGCACGTCGAGACCTGTGCCAGGGCAGCGGGCGCTGAACCGAGGCCTTAGCCAGGGCGCCCACCAGGCGAGTAGCCCAACAGACGTCCAAGTGAAGGTTTCCTCCGTAAAGGAGGGCCCGAACCCAGGGGCTCGCGTACCTGACACGACCCGAGGCTACAAACGTGGCGGTAAAAGGTTTGTGAGCAGCCGTCCACGTGGGGGCACGGCCAACCCAACCGAAGTTTGCTTTGCTTAAGCAAAAGATGCGAGCCGCACCCAAAAACGTCCTGAGGCCCATGCGCACACACTGGAGCAAACGGAGAGTCCGCGTGCAACTACCAAGGCGGGCTTCTTCTTCGTTAGTGAGCCTGCGCGGCGTGCCGTAAGAACAGGCCCCGAGCACCTTGCAGTACGAGGAAACCCTGTCAGCACGGAACTCGGCGAGGAGCTGCCTCTGTCTGGCCGCTCCTTTAGAAACGGCCCAGGCCTTGCCAAAGTGTTCCAGCAACCCCGCGGCCGAGGACCAATTACGCCAGCGCAGCCATGCGTCGTAAAGCCCACTGGCCGTGGAGCAAGCCATGGTGCGATCGTCGAGGTACACCTTAGTGCAGCACTCGTCACGATGGCCGAACGCCTTGGTGTAGTCCAGAGTGAGAAGGAAACCCCGGGAACTGTACTCGTGAAAAATCGAGTTGAGCGTCTCGTACACGTCTTCACCAGTAATGGCTGCGACGTCCTTAGAGAGAGTGGTGCGCAGCCACCCCTTAAACTCCGAAGTACGGTAAACCGACGTAAGAAGCAGCTGCCACCACACAGTCTGAATGGTGATCGGGCGGGTGTCCTGCACGCGAACCCTGCCCGCCGTAACCTTGCCGGGTTTAGGGAGACAGACCATACGAGACTGGTAAAACTGACGAGGCAAGCTCGACGTACGACTAAACAGGTCGAGGAGGCACCGAAAAAGCTGGAAGACACCCAGAGGGAGGTGACAGACCTCTTTGGCGTGCCAGCCGTCCGGTCCTACCGCCCCCTTCATCAAGCGAGCCTGAGAGACAGCAAAAGTTCCGGAGGGGAGCGGGGGACTGGCCTCACGAGCCGGGAGAGGGATGCCAGCGACGACGGCCTGCACTCGTTCCGCGAGAGGGGGCCCATTAGCCCGGAGGGAGGACCAGAAGTCCTGCCAGTAAGACGCTATGGTCTCAGAGCAGCAGCAGGCAGCGTCTCAGAAACCTCTCCCTGCTCGTCCTCGACACAGTGGGCGTGCTCAGCAGTCTTACTTTTGAGCCACTTACTGAGCTCAGCAGTGTCCTGCGTGACCCTGGCTCTCCGGTCTTGAAGGGCCCGAGCCTTGGCCTGAGTTTCAGTCCTGTGAAGATCTGCCTTGAGAGAGGCGATAGCATTGGAGACCTGGAGACTGTCAGGCAGCGCGGTGGGCCGCCAAGTTGGCTAATACCTGAGTGTTGGCAGTGCCAGTACTCTCGGCGCGAAGGCACCTAAGGAAGTCGTAGAGACGAGCCAGCCGATTGCGCTCCTTGCGTTCTGCCAGGGATCCATGCTCCTGCCTGGGGCCGCGGCAAGGGAGAGACTCAGAGCGAACCTCAGCCACGGCACCCTTAGCGGACAGTGCCCCGCGGCGCGGTACCTCTGCGCCCTGCACCCGACGAAGGGCCTCCACGAAAATCTCCTGAAGGCAGAGTTGAAAAGCGTCCCAGACCTGCTGGGCTTGCAGAGCAGGCGTGCCAAGCAGCTGAGCTTCGAGAGCTTTTGCCCTGCTGGAAAGACTCCCAAGTGTGCTTAAGCAGCCTTCGCCACTCCTCAGTGGGCAGCGAGGGAGGCCTGCATAGGTTGGGAGTTCTACGGAGCTTGCCGACCGGAGGCGAGTGCAGAGGGGCCTCAAGGGCGGTACTTAACTGCATGTGATCGCTGATCCACAAATTAGAAGCCACTACCGGCGCCACTTGGGCGGGGTAGTTGGTACACGACCAGTCAACTTCTCGACTGCCATCCCAACGCGTGGGCCGACCAAGGCCGGTGTACGTGCCGCCAAAAGAGGCGCAAAGTGTGGAGATCTCACTGTCATTAGGCAACGAGTTAAAATCCCCGCTAACAATCCACGGATGGGACCGTTGAAGACGACACTCAATGAAGGCGTCATGGCAAAGCTGTGCCGCCTCCACCGGTCCATCGTGGGGATGGGCATACAGGTTGACAACCAACCAGCCTTCGACGAAGACACCGATCAACTCAGCTCTGTTGCTTGCCGCTGCGCAGGCCTGACGTTGTACCAAGCTACGCCTGACGAGGGTCATTACGCCGCCTTTTTTGCCGAGGGGCGGTTGGTAGTAAGCCACGTACCCACAGCTCCGGCAAGTTTTAGCGAAACCCTGAGCCTCAGACTTCGAGAAAGCAGCCTCCTGAAGCAAAGCAGCGTCAGGAGAACCCTTACGTCAAGAACCTGTCGTTTGAAAGCCCAAGCACCCACAGCACTTTGGACGTTGAGTTGAGAAACAGAAAAAGAGCGTCCTGGACCCGGGAATGGAGCCTCACCCACTCTGGAAGCCCTGTAGCCGCCCAGCCGCAAGCGGCTAAGCGACCACGGCTCCGACTGCGAACCTTGTAGTGCCGAGCCCGCCTCCGGGCTCAGCACCGGGTGTCACTGCCGGAGCTGCCGGCCCGAGGCTTGGCCTTGGCTCGGTTTTCCTTAGCCGCGCCAACTGTCCCAGCGGCCCCTTCTGAACGTTTTGGGCGAGGTCGTTTAGCCGAAGACTTAGCTCGCGGAGCGAGCTGCTTAGGAGCGCGACGCTTGCGAGCACTCGCCAGAGCAATCTCAGCTCTGCTAAGGGGGAGTTTACCACGTTTGCGGAAAGCCAAGCGGACAGCACCGTTAGCAAGCAAAAACTCGCGCGCAACCTGGATTGATCTGTCGGTGTGGTCCTCATGGAGACACAGAAGCTTGTCGAGCTCACGCAAAGATCTGCCAACGGCCTTGGCAAATGCTAGCCCACCAAACCCTCTTAACACGCTGCACGTGAAGATTGGTTTGGGTTTCCTTGAGGCGATCGCTACAAGGCCGGAGCGTGTCGTCGCGGACTTTGCCTAACAAGGAAAAACATTTCCTACAGTAGGTAAGGGAGCCTCGGCACCCTCGCCCAACTCTCTCAGGAGGTATCACCGTGACCATGTCGTGGTCCTGAAACCGCTGCTGGCGCTTAGCTTCATGAACTTCCTTAGCCTTGGCCCCAATCTGTACGGCAAGAAGAAGAAGTTTTGAAGTGAGGACGCCCTCAACGACGGCCGCACATAGAAGCGGAAGCAAAATGCACAACCTTAGCTGCGCAAAGCACTTCCGGACCTTAGCTGCACAGGACAGCTGAGAACCTGCAGGGCAGGTCAAAAGACAGCAGACACTAAGTCAAGCACATGAGGACATGAAAACCTAATCCTCCGGCGGACGGCCGTGGCGTTGGTGCCAGATGGCGCACTGCACGACCTCCAACCAAGCCACCAAACTGCGAGCATCCGGAGCATTCAGATCCCGGGGAACCCAGCCAAGACGGCGCCCGACCGAAGTGTTGGGGGGAAGACATCTCTGGGAAGGACGGTTTTGGCAGAGCCAAGCAACATGGTGCCAATGACCAAGAGCCCCACACCCCAGGGACAGAGGGTGGGCGTGTCATCTCTGCTGTTTTGGAAGCAGGCCGGAGTAGCCGTAGCCAGAGAGGCCACCGTACGATATCCACGGTTACCCTGGGAGAACCTGCGAGTCTTAGCAAAGTCAAACTGGAGGATCTGAGCCGGAGACACATCACTGAGTTCCCGGACTTCATGTCTCTGCCCTCTAGTGAGGAAGGCCTTCCACTGTCCTGCCCTCCACCCCTGCCTGAAGGCGTGAAGGAGCAAAGGAACTGCAGCACCAGAACTGAGATCAACATCGCATTCAGGAGTGTAACCCCGCCAAGCCCAAGGGCCCGTCTCAGCCCACCCCTGCTCCGCCATCCACTTGCGGAAAGCCCTGAGCGGCGAGCCCGCCCTGTTGTGCCACTCAACCAGGCCCCTGGCACGAATGCCGGCCAAGGTGCGAAGCAAAGACCCAGCAGACACTATATCAAGATGGCTATTGCCACCGAGGAGGATAGCCCGGATATGCCGATTAGCCCTCCGTAAGCATTTCTGACCCGAACGCATGGCGGTCCACAGGGACCAAGCATCAGACTTGTTCGGCAAGTTGCAAAGCCACCCATAAGCAACCTTGGCAACCCCGAAATTACGAGCAACGGAGTGAAAACGCTCAAAAGGCAACCCGAGATTACCCAAAACGGCGATCACACGTTTAGCGGCAGCGAAACGAGCTCCCTCTTTCTCTAAACCCAAGCTTGTGAGCATGACGTTGGAAAGCACTCCACTCATCCGGTTGCATACGTGTTTCCTGAAGAGCCAACACAACCGCACCCTTACAGTTGCTGTAGTGTTTGAGAGCAGCTCAGGCACCAGGAGCCCCGCCGCAGTTCAAAGTAACGAAAAGAAAGGACCTGAGAGAGCGGACAGCTCCACCAGCCTGACACGGTCCAGGGTTGGCAGCCTCTCCTACTCTCTGAGCTCGAAAGCCACCTAGATGCCAAAAGGCATCCGTGAACTGACTTGACCTGAGTTGCATCTGAGAGTCAAGCTTTGCGGTGTAGGCCCGCTTAGACCTGAGTGCCGCCCGACAACAGTCAGGCGGCATCCCGTCAGGAGCGTGCAGCAGCATTCGCAGCGGCAGCAGCAGCAGCAGCAGCAGCAGCAGCTGGCTTCTTGAAGCTTCTGACCTTGGGACCAGTCTTACGGGCTTTGGGAGCGAGCCTGGCGGGCCTTTTAAGGTAAGCAAAAGTGCGGTCACTGTACGTACGCGAAGGAGCAGCCGCCTCACAGCGGAGAAGAGGCTGTTTACCCTGCTTACGAAACCGTGGCTTAGCTCCTTCAAGGAATCGTTTCCGAGCCCACCCTCTAGAGCGGTCAGTGTGAGGCTCAAACATGAAGCATTCTCTGTCAATGTGACGCATGGGCCCTTCGACAGCCTGGCAGAGAGCGTCAGCTTGCTTGGGTTCAGAAGCCTTGAATCGAACCCACCAGCACAGCCTCAAGCGCCTGGAGTGAGGATTCGTGCGCAAGCGCTCCTGGATTTCATGACAGGTCATGGAGGCCCCAATTCCCGTGCGCGCCCTAAGCTGTGTAAGACAGACTTTGCAGTAGTGCGCCGTACCACGATGGCCAAGTGCATTGCGTTCTTCAGTGGGAACTTCAACTATCGTGTGAGTGTGGAAGTCCACTTCTCTGCGCGCAGCGTGGTCAGCCTTGCAGCGTTAGGCGACCCCTTGCGTTCTTTTGGCTTGACCCTTAAGGGAAAGTGCATGCAAAGCCTTCAAACCGCCCTGATAATTCAGGATGGGCTTCAGCGAGATGATGCCGTTTAGCTCTCTTGCGGTCCTGTGAAGCGAGGCATGGGATGCGCATCTTGCACAACGGGCACTGGAAGCCTGACTGGGCAGGCGGCAGTTCCTTAGCAAAGGCTACAGGAGTAGGCTTTTGTTTGTGAAAGAGTTTGACCGAGCATTCCGGGTGTCGGGTACGGATATGGTGTTTCTTAGAACCCACAAACAGGACAAGGCCACTTCTGAGGGTGACTAACAGGAGTCTCCGCAGACGCCGCACTCTCCTCGAAGTCCTCGAGGTTAGCAATGTCTTCAAGAGCGAGGCGATTGGCACAGTTCTTACTGAACACCGACCGAACTGTCGAGGAGGGCTGGCTTGGACCACCGCCGGCAAAGCCCTTAGGACCAGACAGACACTCTAGACCGAGAGCTCGTTCTGGAACACCCTGAGCTACCAGAGCCAAGAGGCCCAGTGCGGAGCCAGCTGGAAACTGAGGCTAGAGACACCTCGCCGTCCTGTGGTTGAGGCTCCTCAGCACGAAGAGGTTTGGCCTCAGTGTTCATACTGGGCGGCCTCAGCCACCGAGACACTTCTGACCCAGAGTCGTCTATCTGTTCAGCATCATTGGTCGCCTCACAGGATGGCTTAAGCCAGTTGGAGACATCAGAACAGGCATCCATGTCGTCATCGGCAGCACCACCCATGTAGGAGACCTTCTCCTCTCCTCCTTTAAGGGCCTCCCATTTCTTAGGAGCCTGAACACCCGGAAGCAACGTCGTGAAGTGACCGTGCTTGAGGAACAAGTACACAGGAAGCTTGGATCGTTTGGCACTAGGAGGGGCAAGATGCTCGAGGAAAATCCAGTTGCCTCCTACATACTTCCAGACCATGACTTCGGAATTGATGACCCTAGCGCAGGCCAAAGCAAGAGCAACTGTTTCTAACAGCTTGAATGCCCCCGATGCATCGGAAGGCGCATGGACGCCGTCCGTCGGGTCCAGTAGTGGTGAGGCCTGGTCCTTTGGACAAGGAAGAGGCTGCAGCAGGACCATCGGTCTTAGCTTGCTTGGGTTTTGGGTTTGTGCTGTCCTTGTGCGGAGAGTCTGGCGTGCGCTTCTGACCTTGGTTCACTTGCGAGTCACCGTTCATCAGCGCGTCTTCGTGAGTGGTACCAGAGTCAAGCACGGTAGCTGGCACCTCAGACGTAGAGTCAGCCGGCAGGCTACTGTCTGGTGGCTTGCGCAGGGCAAGGGCCCCGTCCGCCTCAGACATGAACTCCGTAGCCAACGTGCCGTAGATCGTGACAAGGTTTTCCGGATCGGGCTTGCTCGCAGAGCAATCCGAGACGTGTGGTTGGGCTCCCCACTCTGGCAGTTTTTGTAGCAAGGGGAACAACAAACGCTTGCTTCCAGTTGCCGTGCTGGAGTTTGACCCAACGTCGTTCAAGGGGCAGCCTAGGCTTTTCAGGTTGCTGTTTGAGGTCGCTACAAACAACGGCAAGCTTGGCATCGAGTTTGTGAGCAGCGGCTAGCCCCGAAGGTTCTTGCACTGCTCCCACGTGGTAACGACCAAAGAAGCGTCGGGTGCGCAGCCTTCGTCAAGTTTCGACAGAGCCTTAGTGGCTGCAGCGACTTTACCAGGCCACCATTTTTGACAGGTGGCAACTTGTACAGGATGAGCTCCTTGACCTTTGCTTTTGCCTTTGTTAACCCCAGGAACATCGGCAGCAGTGACTGCAGGTTGCGGCACAGCAGCAACGGTTCTGCTCTGGGGAGCAGGGCTCGTGTTGAAACTAAGCTGCGAGCTGACCAAAGCCCTGACATTAGAAAGTAAGCCATCGGTGCCCTGGGCATCACATTCCATGACGAGCGCCTTGAGTTGGGCAAGAAGGCTTCTCTCCTGTGCGGTTCCAGCTTGGGTTTCAGGTTTTTGCAAGGGAGCAAAATTCATCGACCTAACGGCCGGAGGAGGAACACTACGGGAAGGGGTCCTAGCACTCTCACTGGCAGCTTTTCCTTCCCAAAACTTCTCTTTCCCTTTCCTTTGACCTGCCAACCTGGACTCTCAGACCTAGCGGCAGGGGAACGGGGACGAGGCTCACGAGGTAGCGGACTCCGGCCTCTGACTAAACTTGGCTCGGGATTCGACTCTTCACCATCGATGTTATCGGAATATCGATTTTGGCGAGCAGCTCCTGCAGCCCTGACAGGATGACTTTCTCCTGCTTCTTGCGGTGCGCAGAGTCACGGCCACCAGGGCCTGGATGCGCAGCTTCACCTACACTTACCCCATTGCAGGGGTCCCATTCTTGAAGCTGACAGGCCAAGATGCGCCCATGCAAGCTAAGGCACAGTGTAAGAGCCAAGAGCACCATGCGCACGGCTTTCCAGGGAGCTCTCGCTGCTGGGTTCTGGTCGCAGCTCACATTGAGGCCCCCCCCCAACTTCTGAGGCAGGAGCAAAGGAGCTACAGTCGTCTGCACCGCGGGTGGCATGACCGGCTCTTCACACTTTCGGGGAGGCAACTCCGGAAAAGGCTTAAAACCTTGAGCTCTGAGCTTGACTCTGGTGAGTCGCCGAAGGTTCGCCTGACGACGGCAACTGAGTCAAGGCCGAGGCGCCTACAAGCAGCACCACAGGGTCTGGCACTGTACTGCTGTTTAAGGGAGGATTTCAAACCAAGCTACAAGCGCAGATTCTTCATCCGCACTTGCATTCTCTGACTCGATTTGAAACGGCGTCTTTTGACAAGTTGAGGCAAACTCTTTCGTGTTTCCGTGGTGCACGTAGGCGGATGCAAAACCGCCTGTGTAACAGTTTGCTTGGTCTGTTGGTAAGCCAACAGTCCCCCGACCGTCCACGCCAAGATGACAACCCCAGTTGCCCAACTTGGCAGACGGCCCGACTCAGCACAGAGAAAGAGGGGAATGCCGTAAGCAATGAATCCCACAAGCTCTTCAGAGACTGAGGTTGGTAAGCCAACGTCAGCATGAAAGCGAGCACCAAAGGGCTCGTCTAATGTGGGTATACCCACGTCAAAGAGCAAACAAGGATTGTAGCCGCCCATGTCATTTTCCTCAGACGGACTTATGCCGAAGGCAGTACGCGGCGGGGCATATCGTTACCTGGAAGGAAAAGGAGGAACCATCAGAAGCATAACCTTGGCTGACAGGAGCCTTGTGCAAAAGGCTCACCTTCGGCGACACAGCTTCATGACTCCTCAGGGGCAGCAGCAGGGGTAGCCTCCCACAACCGCTGTTGGTAACGGCAGAGGTGCCTACGCATCTTAGCAATGTCTTCGTTAGAGACAGATTTGAGATTCCGACCGAACCTAGCCACACAAGGACTCGAAGGTTTAGAAGTGCGGTCAAGCACCGCTTCGAGACGCCTACACTCCCAAGCAATATGTTGGCATGTACCACGCAAACCGAACTGCCGGTATTGTTGTTGCATGCCCGTGTTGGCTTTGACATTCAATTTGCGGTTGCTATCGATTTAGGGGAAAAACTTAGCAAAACCAAAATCGAAATTAACTGAACTTCTGGTGAATTAAAAGAATACTAGCACAACATTCAACCTTCGCTACTGTCGATTCGTTGGTAATCAATATGCAAGAAGCAGCAAGCCAGGAAGACAAAAGGAAGTGAGCAACACACCAACGCTTGACCAAGCAAACCCTGCCAATCTTGAGGGTTGAAGGGGGTTGCGGAAGTTGGAGTTTGTAGACGACCGTAGGACCGTAGCGGGACTCGTACGACAGGCTGTTAGTTGCGTTTCTTGCAGACCAAGGCTCAGAACACGCCGGTCACGACGTTCAAAATTGCGAAAACTGCAATGAAGATGTACAGCAAGAGCCTTTGCATGATTTTCTTTCTTGCAGGTACTCCCTGGCTGGCAAGGATGGCTTCCAGCTTCGAAGGGCAGAGAAGTGGAAACTGGTACAACGAATGTTCCCCGAAGCCCCTGCACAACTTGAGCCCTGCGAGGGGAACACGCCAGACCCTTTACATGCTTCATTACTGGACCTCTCGATCCTTGAAGCCAGAACTGTCAAAGCTTGAACATCCAACCCCGGCAGACCTCTCAATTTCTTCCCATGCTACCTGCTCCCTACCACCCGAGGTCGCAGCTGAGAGCGCGGGCACACATTCACCAAGCAAGTCTGGCCGTGCTGACAACAAGGACAAGGAGGCCAAGCTAACCTCCACAAGCCCTGGCAGCGGAGTATCTCAGAAGTGATAGGAATGTCGGCCGCTCGATGCGGGATGTCGGCTGCTTGCGATGTGGATTTCATAAAGTAAGCCTTTCAGAAACACAGAGGAGTCTTGATGTTGCGGGTACTTGTCAAAATAAGCCTTGCGACTCTTGTTCACTGTCTGCCAGGAACCGTGGGATGTTCAAGATTTTAGTTGCGGATGCAGTCCCAGTAGCAAAGCTGTCCCCAGCGGGGAGAACTCTCGCAGTGGTCGGAAGGCTTCGTCCCAGCTGATCCCACCAGAAATGGCAAGGAACAGCCTCAAGTTTATGCTCGGCGGCTGAGTTTTACAGAATCGGAGGCTACGTGGGCTGTCGAGCAGCGGTTGTACCACCTTGGAGTTAAATTAGTTCAAGAACAAGCTTGATAGATAGAGTCCAGAGTCTCGTGCCTCAGACCAGCTCAATAGGATGAAATCCGAGCAGCGTGAGCATGCTGTCCGGAACACTGGACCAGAACTTCCTCAAAGCATCACATGTACTAATCCGGACTGCCCACACTAACACATGCCTCTCGCAAATCAACGAACTGCTCACATCTGACAGTGCCTCGCCTGGAATTCCATCAAGACGGCTGCAACACTCCAAAGCCTCGACCCCCAACCTTCCCCCAAAGCCGAGGCTGTTAACCGGTCCTCAGATTCGCCGGACAGTCGGGTATCGCGTTCGGGTCATGGGTTCGGTCGATGGCCTGCAAGGGGCTGACAGGCCTAGGGTCCATGAGGCAGTCTGCTCTTGAGTGTTCCTTGATCTATCTCGGTCTACGTTCATCTAAGCAATCTCTGAAACCTGCGCAGTGGAGAGGACCGAAAGGACAATTTAGGTCTACCGCCTTTGGCATGCCGGACTCAGACGCACCCTTTCTCGAGCACTTACCGCTGGCAAATGCATCAGCTGCGACTGTGCGCGCCAGGGATTCAAGTTCGGCGGGTGCAGGGGACCTACTGTAGGAATTCACCCTGGGGTTCGTGGTCCTTGATGAACCAGTACCTCTCTTCAAGCGCAGCCAAAACTCTGCAGTGAGCTTCAAAGTTGACCGACCCGCTGTGATGAATTTAGTGTGAGTCAGGACTTGAAGCCCAGCTACATCGCTCCCAGTTTGGATTACACCCTCCCCTCAGAAGGGCGTATCTTGAGGTTTACATCCAATACAAAAATCACGCTCAACTCCTCTCCACCCCGGCGACCTTCTGAAATGCAGCCCTGCAGTCCTGACCCTCCCACATCATCTTGTGTGACAACAAAATCAAAAGACCCAGAATCCTGACACGATGACTTCAAGGTCTGACCCTGGACCCAGATGTCCTAACAGACCTGCAGTGGCCTCAAATCGACAGTGGTCCATCACGAACCTTGACTGTTCGTAATGACAACCATCACCATCGAGGCCTAGAGACTGCGATCCCAAAACGTAACAAAATGAGTTGTCAGGACAGCCGAGGAGCTGCGCAATAGCCATGCCGAAGGAGTAGCAAAGCGTAATGAGAAGCAGGAGTGTCCAAAAGAGAGAGCCTTGTCAGGCACAGGCGTTAGGGGGCGGGAGCTCCGGTCTCTCTGTGCAATACGCTAAGGCCCTAAGCCCTAAGTCCAACCTTTCTGAGGCCCTGAGGCCCTGAGCAAAGTCTTGGCCCTGAACTGAAGGCCACAACTTGTCCTTCGTCCCTCACCAGTTATGCATAGTGTTGTTCTCGATCGCAGTTCCTAGGACATGCTTCAGAATTGCGAGCATTGTGGGGATGACCTTGTGGAGGTTTTGGGATTCCGAGTCGCTGGCGGGCTGTCAGATTGATAGGTTTTAGCGGCTTCCATCATCGTGGTAGCAGAAGCTAGACGAATAAGTCTAGGAGGTATCCGGAATCTGGCTGTGTCATTCGAGAATCTTTCTGTCTATTCTGTACCACCGTCGGGCTCCAGCTGTCCATGGTTACTTTCACCCTTCGTCAATCCGCTCCGAATGCCCTGCAATTCGTCCTTTTCTCGCGTTCTTCTTTCGTTGCACTTGCGTCTCCCGGGTCAAACGAAACCAGCATTAGTTCTGCAAGAGACCCGTGGTGGCGATGATGGACAGCAGGAGCGTTCGCAGAGCAACCACATAGCGAAAGAGCCGGACCAGCCTGGCAGTTGCTGAAAGGTGCTCTCGCGGGTTCTTTTTTTTGGCGTCATTTTCTTCCCAAGTCCGAAGCTCTGCGCCACCTACCTATAGACTCGTATCTGAAGTCCTGGACTAAACCCCGGGGCAGCGAAGGGCAGTGTAGAGTTCCCAGCGACCCTCGCAGTGCCAGTACCTCCTTACCCTTGCCAGGTAGCCTAAAAGCTGGAACCTGGATACAAATCGCCCAAACGAAGAGTGCGCATGTCTTTCTGAACATACTACATATTTCTAGGCAGTTGCATACAGTACCGCTACTGATAGCAGCATAACGAGATATGGACCTGGAGAGCTGTGCGCTGTCAGAAACATCAACGTTGTGTCTGGAGGCAAGTTAGGCGTAATTGCTTCCGTTCTACGGGCCTTGATGGATCCTAGTTTGAAGCAGAGCTTCTCGGAGAAGACCGAAATATGTGACATCAGGGACACAATCGATCCTCATCCCTCGAAGGGCGCGTATGAGCCGCACGGTCCGCAGAATGCGCACCTGAACCGCGCATTTCAGGCATTAGATTCTGGGCTTCGGGAGAGTGGGCTCATGAGAGGCTGCTCTACAGAGTGCTGCCGCCTGCTCTGGCACGAGACTTTTCTTGCAAGCTACGCGCAACAAATACAGGGCGCACGTTCATACCCTGCGTTGTCGACGTTTGCCTCTCCTTCAGTACTTCTGCCTTCACATTCACAACTGTAGTTAAACTTTCTACTGCAACTCGCTGCATTGAATTGCCCACACTACCAGTGCCCGTACCCTTGTGCCCCTTCCTTGGAATCACGGATAGCGTCAGGGTTCCTATTTCGGGGCTGATATGTCCCTGCATCCCCGAAGATCCTCTGCTGGCAGGAGCGCTTGCCCGGAGTTCGCATCCAGGCTCTGTGCCCACAGGTCCAAGGCACACTCCTTTGCTCAGAAAGGGTTAAAAGCTTTTGCATGGGGGTTTCTGGAGGACGAGAGTACGAGTCCGAGCTCTAGAGACCTCGGCGTCGCAAATTCGGAAGTACGGCCCTTTTGCCAGCATCGAGGAAAGCTTCCATTTGTCCGAACGCACCCAAAACAGGCGGATGCAAGAACCTGAACAGAAGTCATGAAACATTCGATACCCTAGTTTCTAGATTCTAGACCCGAGATCACTGGTGGTGCAGCGTAGACAGTGTTGAGTTCTTCCAAACCATGCCATATCACGCCAGCAAGCAAGACTTGCGATCTACACGAGCCCTGCATGCCCCACGGCTGAAGTTTGCCGGCATCTTTGTGAGCGAGCCGAGCGGCAACCACAGACACGACGACGACGGCGAAATCAAATATGTTCCTGACTGGGTGATCGAGAAAACAGGTGCGTACATTGTCGAACCTGCTGCACTGGGCCCATGAGGAGAAAGACTGGAAATCTGCGGTGCCGTGGTTGCTATGTGCGTCCGGAGGGTCATCTGGGAATATCTTTCTTGAAGACCCTCAACTCACCTCCAGTATCGTCAGTGAGTCCTCAGTGCCTTGTCCCCACTCGAAACTCCCAAAAGACGGTCCAGCCGGACTCCGCTCCACACCAAAAGCCAGAGCAGCCAAAGGCCAGGTGCCTCAACGAGAGCGGATGGCTGGGCTCAGGGGAAGGCCCTGTCGATGCAGATCGGCAGCCCAGCGGATGAGGAATACGAAGCCCTGAATATGCAAAGCCTAAGGACGTACACAGCCCTCTTCACACGGGAGGGGGAAGTGCGAACCGACGCAAGGGGCAGCGTACGACTCCCTAGAACACACCAGGACCATGTGTGAATGCGCGCACACACACACAGACACATCTGTAGACATACATGCATGCATGCAGGCAAAGTACCTTTTGTCATGATCTCATACGGAAATGAGATATTGCCGGACAGACAGGAAATATTCGCGCACCAAGGAAAACCGCATGGTATCGGATTTAGTTTTCTGTACCCTGTGTATATCTGAATACTATATACTACATCAATAGACTGCAATGTCCACAACAAAATGTACAACATAATCCACTACAGACTACAGGACAAAGCTACGCTGTGAGTTGCTGGCTAGTAAGTCCAACCTAGCTGTGTTTCTGTCTGATGGGGGTGTCTCTGCTTTCACACTCTCGTCTCAGGCTGGCTGAGCCGTCATCTGTCCCTTCTCTTGGCTGCGCCGGGGTCTGCCCGGCTCTTGTGGTTTGCTCCCCGCCGCCATTGCTGCAGCGATGCTACGATGCTCTCCAGGCCCGGATGCCCGGAAGACCAGTAACCACGAAAAGCACCATCATAAAGCTTGGCCGCTTGGCACTAGGGCTTCCGCAGCTGTGGACTCGATAGCACGAAGCCGCCAAGGAGCTTTAAGATCGTTTCGACCACAAAGCCACTGACCATGATCAGGTTCACCGTGTTGAACCATCCCGGGATGTCGCCCTGGCGGAGTCTTAAGTCTTCCGCTTCAGGACGTGTGCAAAGTTTTCATCTCACAACCCACGGCTACCTCAAGGACCCTGCCTGATGTCTACCTTCGCTCTGCCTTGTTTCTGCCACGGCTAGTATTTAGTGGCTATGACATCGCGGCCTGAATACGGCACCTGCGTGCAACGCCTGAATACGGCACCTGCGTGCAACCTTGTAGAGACAAACCTCCGGGACTATCCAGAGAATTCACGAAAGAGCGCAGAAAACAAACAAAACGCTGAAGATGACAACGCATAAAACTTCTGGATCCCTGTGGGAGCCTGGCCCAATGTAGACGAGACATCCACCTGCCCAGGTGATCTCTCTGTTTTTCGCTCTGTGCATCCATGGAGTTCACGGTCCGCGCTTGATGGGGGTTCTTGACTCGGATCCTCACGGAGCTCCCGTTGGACGCTCTATTCCCCGGCAAAGGGCGGTGCCCGGGCCTGGCTCGAGACACTGGGGGGGTCCTAACCCTCCTAACCCTGAATCACTGAACTCCAATCCCACATGCTTCGCCCGGAATAGGCCGACACCCAGAAGGGTGTCTGCTGACAGCCCGAGTGTGTCAGATTACACCATCCAGCACTGCTGCGGCAATGCACTCTCTGCCGGCCTCGATGCCCATAAGTATGACATTGGCCTCACTTGTCCACTGGGCGCTCTCGGGCTTGTTCTGGCAAGTGTTTCGGGTCAAGCTTCGGTCGGACAGTTGTGTTGTCACGGCGTTAAACGGCTTCTGAATTTTGGTTGGGGCCGCTTGGGTTTTAAGTCAGCGTTCAGGGTCGGCGTGCGTGGAGTGGAATGCGGCTATGCATAATATTATAACCTGTTTGCTTGTCTCGTATTCGTCTGGAGGCAGAACCTCAATGCCCCACGAGCCTATGAACTGCGCAAGACCTCAGTCAACTCGTGATGAGCTCAGTTGAATGTTTGTCTGACAGGATGAGGAGAGTGACGGGTCCGTTCAGTTGCAGTTGGTGTTCTTTGACAAGCAAAGGAAGAGGGTCTGAAGGAAACCAGAACATTTTGGACAAGGACAGGCAGGGATTCTACAAGCAACGATTACCGCAAGTGTTGACACTCCTACAGTGACCTGTAGTGTATATAGTACCTTGATCAGTCCGTGTTCTTCATAAGTGTGATCTTCAAGCTTGTGAGACTGATTCAGCAAAACCATCCCTGCAGGGCAGCAACAATCCGGAGTCCTACATCCCCAGCCCCGAATAGAACAGCAACAAGAACCAGGTCCATGGGCGGAGAACCCGCCATTCACAAGTAGAGCAAGGCACCATGATCAGAAACATGATCAGGTTGTTGAACCGGTCAGAGGAGACCTGAGCTAGCATTGCGGGTTCTGAGCTTGTCCGGACTTCAACAGACGGTCAGGGGTCAGGGTTTCTCAGCTTCTCAATCTGCTTGGAGTAAAAATAATAATCCTCCACGTTCAGCTGTACTGCAGATTTCTGTCGAGGACTCCAGCACCAAAGAACCGCAAAATCTCGCAACGACGCAGAACAGTGACGTTTTAAGGCCTTGTGAGACATCTTTATGACGACAGTCACCCTCATCTAAAGGGTCGTAAAAGTGAAAGGCCTGGTGGGCGGGACTCAGTGCCCGTTCTCGAAAGTTTGAAGCCTTTCATCAGCACATCAGCAACATTTCTCGTACCCGAGCAGCGCCGGCCCTGGCCATGCAATCATGTCAGATATCAACCAACATCCGCTGTACCAATGTCAGATGCCCTCAACCGTAAATGATTCCGAAAGTGTGTCACTCCCAGAAACATAGGCGGTCGCAATAGCACAAAAAAAGCGATCACTTGCTTGGGTTCTGCGTTTACTCCGCTCATGGATAAGCCTCCCAAGCATTCAGGCCCCCACGAAGCCCCCAAGTCTGTAACGGAGCCAAGCAGGGCCCCATATGTCATGGACTTTGCTGTACAAATCTCTTGGCCCTGGCCCCGGCTTTGTCTCCGAACGCCTCCGATAATTCCACTCTGGGCCCCCACCTCTTGTTTCAAAATAAAAAAATGTGGCCATTCTACATGTTGTACTCTTGCCATGTCTTCTGCTTGCCCTTGCCTTTCAGGCTATGGCAAAGTCATAGCCCCACAGACGTTGTCGACAAAAAGCTTTTCATTGCAGCGGAATCTCGAAGCCATTTCCGATCTTCCTGCAATGCATCGTAGCACCAGTGAGTTTTAAAGGCCTGCCCCCCCCCCCCCCCCCCACATCAACCTCTACAGTACCTTTCGGGTTCAAGGATCCACTAAAGGTCCCTACCCCGGCGTGTTCTGCTGCGGAGTCGCGATGCCTTCGAGACAGCTCCGAGCGCCGGCGGTCTGTTTCGGGAAGTGGGCAGGACTTAGGTTTAGAGTTTAGGGCGTATTGGGATTCAGGGTTCTGGGTTTAAGGGTCGGGCGTAGGCCTGCAATTTTGGCAGTGGGGGTTGTGCTGTCAGTGCAAAGGTTACGGGAGATGTAACCCAAAGCCCCCAAAGCCCAAACCATAGACCCCCAAATTCGGTGCAGCTGCACCGCTGCACCTAATTGCAAATGAGCTTCTTCTTCAATCTGGCTAGTTTTGGAACTTTTTGTTTTATCCAGGAATGAATGTATGTATGTCAGTATACATGCATGCATGCGTGTACGTCGGTGTGTCTGTACATGCGCATGCATGCATGTGTGTGTATGTGT